ATAGCTCTTTTTTCTGCCTCTAAACTCCTCTAAATGCCTACAGATGTATAGGCTGGCATGCAGGGAAGTTTAGAGGCAGAAAAAAAAAACACTTTTCTATGTTGGTCATGCCAAAACTGCAAGATCATCAACAATGACTCCTCATACCCATGTGCGGTTGGAAAGCTATGTCGGCCATAGATTAAATAAATCTCAGACAGTTCAGCTAGGAGCTGCCGAGATTTAATCCACCTCTGGACAGGCTGGTTGTACCCAAGTCAATCAATAGATTGACTTGGCACAACTAGCTAGTCGGATTTTTTTTACATGCAGTTGCTACTGACAACTATAGCCACTAGCAGTAATCATTGTGATCTACCAGCCAAAAAGGCTCCCCATTGGCAGAACACAATAGAGCTGCGGGAGAGAATCAAGCTATGTACTTTCCTTTCAGCATGGAAAATGTAATAATCTATAGTTTGCCTTACTGTGAAGAAACCATACAGTTTTCCAAGGTTTTCTGCACTTTGAATATTATCATTGCCCTTTGCCTCATTTTATTCAGTATAGGACCAGCAGTGTTTTATGCAGCAAAATGTGAAATGTTCCTGCACCAAAATCAAGTAAGTTCTTAATAGCATGTATATTTCAATAGTATTGCGATCAGTAACATTCCAGCACAGTACACAATGACTGTTATACCATGTCACTCCTTCCCTGCTGCCAACTGAGGATAATGTTAACTATCTTTTGAATAGACAGAGCACTTGGCCAGGCTAGGCTTCATTACCAGGAACATGATATCAAAATCTTTCATTTTGCCTGATGGATGGTGACATGCAGTAAGTTCATTTAATGAGATGAGGTCTGAGCAAACTCCCAATGACTCCATATCCCTCTCAATAACTAAATGTTAAACTTGGCTTTGGCACTATGATTTTGGATGCATAAATACAACACTTGTAAGCAATGGAATATATTCAGAAAAAAGTAATGGTATTGTGAATTTTAGTGTGCACAATATACAGTGGGGATCGAATGTTTGGGCACCCTAGCTAAAAATTTGTATTAATGTGCATAAAGAAGCCAAGGAAAGATGGAAAAATCTCCAAAAGGCATCAAATTACAGATTAGGCATTCTTATAATATGTCAACAAAAGTTAGATTTTATTTCCATCATTTACACTTTCAAAATAACAGAAAACAAAAAAAAAAAGGAATCTGCAAAAGTTTGGGCACCCTGCAGAATTTATAGCATGCACTGCCCCCTTTGCAAAGCCGAGACCTGCCAGTGTCATGGATTGTTCTCAATTGTTCTCAAGAAGGCTATAAGAAGATAGCAAAGCGTTTTCAGATGTCAATATCTTCTGTTCGGAATGTAATTAAGAAATGGCAGTCATCAGGAACAGTGGAAGTTAAAGCAAGATCTGGAAGACCAAGAAAAATATCAGACAGAACAGCTCGCAGGATTGTGAGAAAAACTATTCAAAACCCATGTTTGACTGCACGATCCCTCCAGAAAGATCTGGCAGACACTGGAGTTGTGGTACACTATTCCACTATAAAGAGATACTTGTACAAATATGGTCTTCATGGAAGAGTCATCAGAAGAAAACCTCTTCTACGTCCTCACCACAAAAATCATCGTTTGAACTTTGCAAATGAACATATAGACAAGCCTGATGCATTTTGGAAACAAGTTCTGTGGACCGATGAGGTTAAAATTGAACTTTTTGGCCGGAATGAGCAAAGGTACGTTTGGAGAAGAAGGGGCACAGAATTTAATGAAAAGAACCTCTGTCCAACTGTTAAGCATGGGGTTGGATCAATCATGCTTTGGGGTTGTGTTGCAGCCAGTGGCACAGGGAACATTTCACGAGTAGGAGGAAAAATGGATTCAATAAAATTTCAGCAAATTTTGGATGGTAACTTGATGCCATCTGTGAAAAAGCTGAAGTTAAAGAGAGGATGGCTTCTACAAATGGATAATGATCCTAAACACACCTCGAAATCCACGGGGGATTACATCAAGAGGCGTAAACTGAAGGTTTTGCCATGGCCTTCACAATCTCCTGACCTCAACATAATTGAAAATCTATGGATAGACCTTAAAAGAGTAGTGCGTGACAGACAGCCCAGAAATCTCAAAGAACTGGAAGACTTTTGTAAGGAAGAATGGTCAAAGATACTTCAAACAAGAATTAAAAGAATCTTGGCTGGCTACAAAAAGTGTTTACAAGCTGTGATACTTGCCAAAGGGGGCAGTACAAGATATTAACTCTGCAGGGTGCCCAAACTTTTGCTTTCTGTTATTTTGAAAGTGTAAATGATGGAAATAAAATCTAACTTTTGTTGACATATTATAAGAATGTCTAATCTGTAATTTGATGCCTTTTGGAGATTTTTCCATCTTTCCTTGGCTTCTTTATGCACATTAATACAAATTTTTAGCTGGGGTGCCCAAACTTTCGATCCCCACTGTAGGTAGAATTTGATTCCCCTGACCACTTTGTCCTTTATCCTGTGGGTATTTTATTAGTTTAAATATTCTCTTATTTTCTTTCACGTTCCAGTTTGCTTAAAGTGCATCTAAACCCAAAACCAAAAATGTTTGTTTAGCGAGGAGAATTTATTTTAATAATGCTGAAAGTGAAACAAACATGCCTTTTAAATAACATGCCTGGAGGATGCCTTAAACCTGTGTGTGAAATGACGCATTTGTAATATGTGTAAAATGTACTACAGCCAAACTGACAAAGGAAAAAAAAAAACTACCATTTGAATTGCAGGTAAATGTCATTTCCCAGCCTTTTCGTTCTGTTTGTAAACAAAGTGGATGGACATTCCCTTCATCCATACCAGCCCCTTATTCTAGATGAGGGGCTAGTATGCATTGTCATTACTAATGATCGGTCATTACTAATGATTGTCATTACTTACTGCATTGTCATGCATTGTAAGAGAGGACCGCATACAAAAACACATTAAAAAAAGCATGAGGTCCCCCCAAGTATGGATTTCAAGGGGGAGCACTATGCAAGAAAACAAGGATAAAGGTCTGCTATGGATGTTCCGGGAACCCGACATCGTTGAAAGAAAAAAAAAATATATCAGCTGAATATAAACAAATGGGGCAAGAGTTGTTTGACTTCATTGACCAAACATGGTCATGACCATATCTGGTCATAGATGGCAAGCAGCAGGTTAATGGTTTCTAAGAAGCCAGCCGCTGCCGGTATCTTGGCAACTAATGATGCTGGGCAGCCTGCATTTATTGGTGGTAGCAATACTGACAATAAATAAATTTTTTTTTTTATTTTATGTTGGGACTGGCAAACCGATCAAAGTGTTCTATGAACACCGAACAACCAAAATTCAGGTCGAACCCTGCATTGAGCACAAAAAAAAAAAAAAAGCTGTTCATCCAGCCAGAAATCTTCTGATCTGATAACTTCCTGTACTTTATGGCCCTGGACTGTTATCAGTTAGAATTGTTCCCACCTATCTATGTGGACTACAAAACACCTCCGCCTGTAACTAAGAGGAAAGGGAAATGTTATGTAATCCTAACACAGTGTTAAGTAGTCCAAACACACTTTTTCCTAGGGTACAACATGCTTTTTCCTAGGGTACAACACACTTTTTCCTAGGGTACAGCACGCTTTTTCCTAGGGTACAACACACTTTTTCCTAGGGTACAAGCACACTTTTTCCTAGGGTACAACACGCTTTTTCCTAGGGTACAACACGCTTTTTTCCTAGGGTACAACACGCTTTTTTCCTAGGGTACAACACGCTTTTTCCTAGGGTACAACACGCTTTTTTCTAGGGTACAACACGCTTTTTTCTAGGGTACAACACGCTTTTTCCTAGGGTACAACACGCTTTTTCCTAGGGTGCAACACACTTTTTCCTAGGGTACAACACACTTTTTCCTAGGGTACAACACGCTTTTTCCTAGGGTGCAACACATTTTTTCCTAGGGTACAACACGCTTTTTCCTAGGGTACAACACACTTTTTCCTAGGGTACAACACACTTTTTCCTAGGGTACAACACGCTTTTTCCTAGGTGCAACACACTTTTTCCTAGGGTACAACACACTTTTTCCTAGGGTACAACACGCTTTTTTCCTAGGGTACAACACACTTTTTCCTAGGGTACAACACGCTTTTTCCTAGGGTACAGCACACTTTTTCCTAGGGTACAGCACACTTTTTCCTAGGGTACAACACACTTTTTCCTAGGGTACAGCACACTTTTTCCTAGGGTACAACACACTTTTTCCTAGGGTACAGCACACTTTTTCCTAGGGTGCAACACACTTTTTCCTAGGGTACAACACACTTTTTCCTAGGGTGCAACACACTTTTTCCTAGGGTGCAACACACTTTTTCCTAGGGTACAACACACTTTTTCCTAGGGTGCAACACACTTTTTCCTAGGGTACAACACACTTTTTCCTAGGGTACAACACGCTTTTTCCTAGGGTACAACACACTTTTTCCTAGGGTACAACACACTTTTTCCTTAGTGCAGCTGTCACCCTAGTACAAGAAGTGTATTATTGGCAGGATTGCCAGTTTAAAGGATAAGTTCACCTTTTGGACAAAAATAATAAATGCACATTTTTTTGCAGGTAAAAAAAATGTGCATTTCTTATTTTTGTCCAAAGGAGCCTGAAAAGCATTGCACCAGTGATCAGTAGATCACTGATGACATGCAGGTCTCCTGCAGACTTGTCAGAATATCTACTTGCCATACTGAATGTACGAGTAAGCAGATATACTGGCAGGAAGCTTCAATGAACTACCACTGAGCTCCACAATGCCGTGGTAGTTAATTGAAGACTACAAGCCCACAGCCACTAAGGCTGCTGGGATTTGTAGGCACTCAATCACAGAACATGTGAGTGACGCAGCCATGTGGGCGGAGCCATACTAGTTTTCAAATCTGACAGATAGTAAGGGGAAACGTCTCCCCGTACTATCTGTCAGAGGGAGGGGAGGCGGCAGGCGCAGCTGCAGCTATGGGAATATGTTACATGCAGGGGCGGACTGACCATTTGGAAACTCGGGCACTGCCTGAGGGCCGGGGGTCAGTAGGGGGCCCCATGAGATGCCCCTGGTACCTTTTTCATAGGCTTTTTTGAGTTTGGGCAAGGACACGGGCCCCATGATCCCCTATTGCCCGGGGGCCCCATAAGTTGTTAGTTCGCCCCTGGTTACATGTCCACCCTAAAAACAGGTGGAACATGTAAGATGTTTCCAAAGGCGAACTTATCCTTTAAAAATAAAGGAAAAAAGTCTGAAAAGAAGAAAATGAATTCAGCCATCACATCTAAGGACTGTTAAGCTGCAATGCTATCAATGTTTGTTCTTGGGTTTAGATATGCTTTAAAGAAAATGGAGACAAGAGACAATGGGAATTTAAAAAAATACCGCAGATTCTAAATAGAGAAAACAGGCAACTTTACCAAGCAAGAAATGTTGCGCAAACTCAACACTGGTTTTTTATCACGTGTTTTAATCACAAATTTAGTTGAAAAGCTTGTTTTTGGTAAAGTTTGGGAATCACATGCAAGCCCACATGGTGTCTACTGCCAAGGGGCATTTACAATTGTCCATGATGACAGATGTCTGCAGAGCCCTATTTTACACACTACAAATGGGGACAGCTGACATGCAGGCAGATAATTAAAGCAAGTGCCAAGTTGAAAGACAAGAGCAGGGGCCACAAACAAATGCTTAGGGCAGGCAGAATTTTGCCAAAATACTGTGCAGAGTAAACATATGCACAGGTCAAGGCATGCGTCTATGCACAACTTGGAGTACAGATAAAAAAAAGGAGCTTAGATAATATCATCATCAGAACAAATACAGAAAGAAGAAATTCTCTTGTTTAAAGATATATTTCCAAAAATTATAATTATTGACGCTTGTAAACATGTGTCAAGCGTGTAGGCGTGTCAAGCGCTTAGGTGTTAATTTATTTCATTGGTCAGAATAATAATTTATTCTGGCTATTAAAATGAATCAACGCTCAAGTGCTAAACACGCGTTTAGATGCATTAACACGCATTTACAGGCATCAGCGTTTTTTCTGCCACAATTCCGCTGCTCCTAGACACGCTGGCAGTAGGGGTTTTTCTGCTTCCTGCAAACTCCTCTAAATGCCTATATGTGCATGAAGACATAGACTGACATGTAGGGAAGTTTGGGAGACAGAAAAGAAAAAAACACCAGATGCTTGTAAGGGGGGGGGGGGGGGGGGCAGCAGGGAGGTGGTTGCTTGTCATGTCCTCCATGTTTTCCAATTAACCCGTTGGGCGCCAAATCTGGGAAACATGAAAGGCCTACCCCCGCGATGGGTTCTTCTGGGCTACACTAGGCACTTTGTACAGGGTCTCTCTCTCCATTTCACACACATGGGACACCTGTGCTTTAGTGCTGTTTTCACCAATGCCCTGGGACAAGAATGAGCTTGCCATCAGGGAATACTCAACCTTAAGGCAGGCCTCTACTTTTATAGGTGAACATGCACCATATACACTTGCACAACAACCATTCTCTAGTTATTCTCGGGTCCCCGTGTAAATGTACATTTTCTCACTGTAGCTTGCAATTAGGTGGGCTGGGCAGAACACTGACCAAGGCCACTTGTCCACCGTTTCCCATTAACGATCCAGGTAGCAGCATGGAACCCCGCTGTGTACATAGTGCTGGCTCCAACGTGCACTTGACTTTAACTCCAGAGTTTCAGTTCCTCTATACAAGATGGAGACCTCTGCAGTGCAGTTCTGTTCTGATTGCTATTGGAGATGGAATGAGACAATTCCATCTATAACATGTATACTCTAAAGCCAGGCTGCTCATTGACCGTACCTTCGTTCCTCATGGCAACTGCATGTGTAACGTGCATAAAGGTGACTCTTAACATGTTAGACTCTTCATACTCCATGTGCTTGTGACCCAAGCTGTAGACTAAGTGTAAAGTTGGGACAGTTGCTTGCATTACACCCCTTTGAGTAACTTCAGACCAGGCAAGAAGCAAAGTTTCAACATTTTACTGAATAAATTGCAACGTTGCAGTCAACAGATTCCAACAGAACATCAACAAAACAGTCCATTTTCCTAAGTCCCTATTCCCTAATCCTAACCAGGCTATGTGCTGTCCCGGCATACCTGCAGAGGTGAGTCTGTGTAGTTGCGACATCTAGGTGAGGTAAGTTCCAGACGTTGGTCTCTTCAGGGCAAACCCCATGTCTTTAAGATATACAAGGTGCTTGCGCATTCCCTACACTTTTTCCAGGTGACTTTATCTTCAGGTTTCCAAGCCAGTAAAGTGAATCGGCCTTCTCTCAAACCAGACTCTAGATCAAGGCCAAGGGTACTGTGTTGATGGGGGAAATCAAGCAATTATCTGAAAGAAAATTATCTATGGCTTTCCATACCCATGGGAGCAGTGAGGTTGTAAAGTTTTTCCATTGTCCATGTGGGTGTGCATATGTGAGACAGACTGCCTGGGAAGACAAAGTAAACAAGCACTATTAGCTGTTATACCTACCCTGATAAGTGAAAGATATGACATTCTAAGGAGTGTGACACATGCATTCTTGTATAGGAAATAATATCATATTAGTATTTTTTAATGGATATCAATCTGCCAAATCTCCAAAAAAAAGGAAAGGAATATTTCTATGTGAAAAGACTCCTACAATTCTTTAGCACATGGACTATGAATGCTAAGCAAATTGGTAAGATTAAGTCTGCATGCACTCAGGTGTTTTAATTACTTCCATTTACAGTGGATCTTTCTGCCAAGAACTGGCAGAAAAATACAGTGTAAAAAAAGCTTGTTTTGACAGGTTATTTTATGTGTGTTTATGCGTATTTATGGGCAAATGTCATTTAGAAGTGTATGCATGGAAACTCATGCTAAGGATTAGAAACCATCTATGGTCGGCTTAAGTATTTCAAGTGGAACTTCAGACATTTTTGTAAAAATGCTACTAAAACTTTGACTGCTGACTTTTAATAAACAGATACTTACCTGTCCCCAGATCCACCTGTGTGCTCAACCGAGGGGGGCCGTGTACAGTCTTTGGTCCCCGGCACTGGCATCTTAGCTGTGGGCACCTGGCTATGACAGCTTGTGGCTTCACAGCCAGATGCCCACTGTGCATGTGCAAACCGTGTTGTGCACTGTGATTGGTCCCACAGTCTTCTGCAACCCGTGCTGTGTCCCAGAAGACTGCAAGGAGGGAGGGGGGAAGGAGCACTTCACTCGGATTGCCTAGGTGATCCAAGCAGAAGTCGGAGTAGGTACCTGTCAAAATCAGGTAGGCAACACTTTAAAAGCCTTTACAGGTTACCAATAGATTTACAGAGGAGGTCTAATACTAGAATTACTGCCCATGGGACTCAGTTTCCTACTCGGCCAACCTGATGTCTTTCTTCCTCCCGCTCCTCCCTCTCCTGGACCACCATCTCTTTCTGTCTGGGCTGGACCAACCTCAGGCTTTTGCCTGGTGGCCTATCTGTGGATTCTCTCAGGTTCACCACTTCTTAGGGTCCCGCTCCTTTCCTTCCTGGGCTTTCATCTCCGAGACCCGTGACGCACCTCTAGCAGAGTCGTACTGCTATCTCTAGCTCCGACACTGGATTTCCACTGTCCATCGCAATTCTTGTTTGCCTTTCAAGAATTACTGCCCATGATCTGATGTTTGCGGCGATACCTCACGTGTGGGACGATCACTGTTTGCGTGCATGATGGACCAATGCATGTGCTTTCCTTTGCACGAGGGCACAGAGGGACGAGGCAATTTTTTTAAAAAATTTTTTTTAATTTTTTTACACTGTCGCTTTAAATTTTTTTATCACTTTTATTGCTGTCATATGGAATGCAAACATCCTCTGTGACAATAATAGGTATTTTTTATGCAGGGATCTATGAGACCCCAAATCCCTCCTCTGCACTTGAAAGCATTCAAAACACCAAGATCAGTGCTTTTGAATACTTTCAGATTTTTAAAAATGGCACCAAAAGTAAAGCAGAAGTGATGTCACACCATTATTTACTATTAAGGACAGCCGGTCAAAGCTGATTCTGGTTTTGTTCGGCTGTCCAGTCAGCCGGCAGACATGCCGTCTGGTTGCTCGGGACTTCCAGTGGGTTTGAAATTATTTGAAAGTTCTATTAGCTAAGGCTGTCTACCTAGGTTTGGCTGTAAATGTAACTACATTTTCACCTAATTCTGCTCAAATCAGGAGGATTGGGAATGATCAGGTTAAGGCTATGGGCAATGTTAGGGATGATTTTTTTTTTTTTTTACAAAAGTGGATCTTTTACTATTCTAGTTCCCTGACTTTTTCATACTTTCAGCTACGGTACAAGACTGTTATCAGATCTGAAGTCTGGAATGTGCTGCATACTTAAACTACGTACATGGTACCAGTATGTACCATATTTTTTTTCATTGGAAGAATTACACACAGACATAACTTTCTACTGACATGTGGTCTACATGTTCATATCTAAGCAATGACATCTTTGCTTGATAAAAGACAGAAAAATTATTGATTTATTGTAGATAAACACTAATGTTAACTACTCATGCTTTTATCTATGTGGTAAATTCCTAAAAGGTATATAATATCATCCATGCAGGAAAAAACTTGGTCTGTACCTAAATAGTCTGGTGCAAAGAACACACACACCTTTAAGCAAAGTACACTATGTTAAAAAAAAATAGTTTAAATCTGTATGTTCTTTAGAGTTTCCAAACAAGGGAACTGCCTACAGCCTAACAAGTCATGCATTGTAGGAAAGAATGTGCATATATGCTTTAAAGCAGAAACTATACATTGAAGTCAAATTAGTTCAAGAACATTTACCATGAACAATAAACATAAAGGCTATTACAGTGCAAATGCTTTGAAGTAAATAAACAGAAGAGAACTAAAGCATATTAGGAATGTTGAGCGGTAAGATGTATAGGAACACACTAAAACATATTATTATTATTATAATAATACAGAATTTATAGAGCGCCAACGGTTTGCGCAGCGCTTTACAAAATGAAGGTAGACATTATAGATACAATACAATTTGGTACAAGAGGAAACCGAGGGCCCTGCTCGTTAGAGCTTACAATCTATATAAACCAGTGTACAGATGAGCTCATTTCACCACCAGAATGTC